CTTCCCAGCCATGGGGAGGACAGCAATGCCGTGTTATCAGCCTTCAGCTGCCCGGTTCCTGGTGCCTGGGCCAGCCGCTGCACTCTTTGCAGGGGCTGCTACCCGAGGTGCAGCATGTGGCTGTAGATGCACACGGTAATAATAATGTTCTCTCTGCAGTCCCCCACTGGCAGTTACGAGCTTGAGACTAGACACTTGGCTAACATTTTCCAGCCATTTAGCCAGATTTATGCCTAAAGCAACATGCAGAATAGATTTTATTATTCAAGCGAGAGATTTTTCATATTTGATACATGTCTAATTTCCTCCCTTTCTTGGATGTGGTTAGGAAACACCATCAAGGAAGAGTTACATGTTTTACTGGGAAAGAGCAAACCTGTGCTGTATGTACTGCTGCTCGCAGAAGTAACAGCAGAACAGCTACACAGCTGTATACAAACACGTGCGCTCGTATCACAGCATGGCTACTCTACAATACAATCCGAAGCTCAGTACACTGGGGTAACTGAAATCACTTAACTCACTTTATAATAAAGGCATATCCTAGTGTTTCTGTTCCAGTTCTGTTACAGAGTAGGAGCAATGGTGTGCAATCAAATGCTGGGTATGGGCAACGGGCTGAAATTACAGCTCTTTGCCATGAACTTCACGTTGCCGTACCAGTTTACTTTACATCAGCATAAAATATTATGACAAATACAGAAATAAGAAAAAAGCCTAATCTGCAGTACAGCATTCATAAACGGAGCCCTTTGTTGTTTAAAGCCACTTCTCAGAGCTGGTGAAGGGCAGAGAGCAGTTGCTGCTCTGCCTGGCAGCTCCCATCCCTCTCGCAAAGTCTGGCTGCGGGGCTTTCCTGTGCCAGGCGTCACCACTCAGCCCCACCACAGCTCAGCCGGCTGGGACCCCCAACAACTCCCACATCACTGAAGAGCCAGGAAAGGAGCTTATAGAAGGCTGAAGGCTCTAAGGCACAGAGTTGGAAGAAATAAGCAAGGAGCCACACTAAAGAAAACAGAAGACTATGTTAATAAGGAAGGTAGCACATGGAGAGATGAAACATAGTACAAGAAACATGATGTGAGATTTAAAGAGATGAAGAGAGACATACAAGTTTTTGGGAAATAATTACACAGCACATGTAACTTCTTTTAGGTATGCTAAGGACTTGGGGAGAACAAACTGCTCTCCAGGCTCATACATTTTTCTGACCAATGCTGGTCAGTGACTTAGCTTTGCGCTCACTGCTCAGGAGCACAATTCAAGTGTCACTGTCATCCACAGTCACACAGAAGAGAAGACACTTGATCAGTTAGCTTGGAGTAATGCAGCAGTAATTGATAACTGCAAAATTTGAGTCCTGAAATGGGCTCTAGCCATTCCTTTCCCTGAGACTACAGTGGAGGAGCAAGAAAAAGTGAAGCACTTCCAGAGGACTTTTTGCCAGAAAAACTCCCAAACAATGTTGAAAAGCAGAACAGGACCAGGAAAGCAGTCGCCATGTGGTGATCTTATGATATATTTGTATAAATCTGAATAACTTTCAGAGCAGTACATGGAATAGAATAATTCTCTCTGCAATTCATAGGTCTCAACCTTTTCTCTATCTGTTTTGGGATTACTAGGGATATATAAAGGATCCTGCCCTCTTCTGGGCAATCCCTGTTCAAAGAGACAAAATAATCCATCCATGTAATATTCATTAGTTAACTCAGTTCAGTGAGAGCCTTGCTTACAGGAAGACATTGCATCTTATTTTGAAAGAAACACCTATTAATTCATTGAGGGACAATCATCTAAAGTAAGAATTTTAGATATCTTTTTTTAAAGTAAATAGTACCCTCCACATTTTAAGATTTAATTAAAAGCTGCAAGGTTAAGGTAGTTATTTTTGATTATTAATCTAATTATATAATAATTTAGAGGCAAATGGGTAGGTAAAACAATAAGTCATTAGGGAGCATAAATGATACATGATGAGTAATAATTCCCTGGAAGTGCAAATTTTAAATCGTGTTTAATTTAAGCAACTGATTTAATTTTCAATGTCTAAGTTGCTAATAAGCTACTCCACAACCTATAAAGCAGTATTAGAACCAAGTAATCTCCTGCTGTCAATGTTCTACAGATTGATTGTTAGCAGTAAAACCATGTTCCCTGCAGAGGCACATTGCAAGGCGTGTGTACCGAATCCAGTACCATGCAGGAGCAAAATGCATCCAAGGAGATTCCGTGCTTAAAATTACTCTTGTTCTTGTTGATACCATTGCGTTGCAAGTACCTCGCATTGACATAACACAGCTCACAGCTCATACCACCTTTACTGGGTTTTGTAACAAACGCAACAGGTGATGGTTGCCTATGGTCCTAAGGGGCCGCCCAGTTTCTGTGTGCCATAGCAACATGTACTTACCCAGGCACTTCTAGCAGGGAGCTGAACTAAGGGCAAGAGAAAGACCAGGCCTACAAGGGCCCCTGAAAGTACAAGAATCCTCAAATAATCAGTCGTTTGGATTACTTGCATCAATACCCAACCCTGACATTAACTATTTCTAAGAGTTCTGACTTCCTTTTAACTCCAATGCATTCACTTCCACATCTTGGGATGACAAATGGAAAAAAAAAGAATTCACAAGTAGTTCCTGTTGACTCCATTCAGCTCCAGACTTCCTTCATTGCCTTCAGGCATTGACACCCTAAATGGCTTTTTGACTGCACAGATGCAGACAGTTGACACTGTTTCCTTCCTCGCCATTGCTGACAAGCACAACCACCCAGTGGAAAATAACAGAAGGTAAGATATCTGGCTATCAGCATCATCAGCAGTCTGCTGTGTTTCCAAAACATGTAAACAAGGACAACTGGATCCTTCTAGGGTAATACTGAGTGATAAGAGCTGAGCTGCAGCAATGCTGAACACCTCTGTGCTACCTCAGTACCCATTGCAGTGCATGCCAAGCAGTGGTGATGTCAGTGAGGGGCATCTTTGATGGACATTCTTGTGCAGGAAGCCAGGACAGCAGTAGCAGCTGAAATGTTAAGGGCTGGAATCTCAGTAGACGGTCCCACTTATATCCTTACCCCAACTTATCATGCCTGCGTATTTAATCTTTTCCTCACTGGTACCTTATCATTGTTGTTCGGAACCTCCAAGATCTTAAAGGAAGATAACATCTGCTATAAGTTTAAGTCTGGGGAACTAAGGCTGCGCTTTCGTATCTGGTCTGTGTAGCTATTCCCTTCAGATGCAAAAATGAGCTGGTTGAATTTCTCACTGCAAATATTATTACTTGAATCTGGTGCATCACCCGCCTTGTAAAATATTATTGTAAAAACTAATTTCAAGGAAACAGATTAAACAACTTCTAAAATGCAGAAATTCCATTTATTATACTGAGAACATCAATTGCAACAAGTCTTGCAATGCATTCTCTTCACTCTACGTACAATACAGTACAGTGTTCTCCACAATAAGTTACATAAAGGCAAATTTTATGTACATATAAAAAGGATCAGTGTCCAGAACTATTTGCACAGCATATCTGCCATTCAGAAATCAACCATTTAAATCTTTAGTTGCCTTCAGAATTCTTGAAGCAAACTGAATTCATAAACAAATCTTAATTACCTGGTTTGAGAAGGGTTTTCAACTAATTTCTAAATTCAGTGGAGATAATATAAATGGTTTAACCACTGAATTAGCATTCTCAGCATTCATTCTATAAACAAATGTATTAAAAATGAGGTGTGACGTATGGTAGCGTATAAGACAACATGGAGAAAAATGACCTGCCTGCATTTAAACTGTTTATGCATCCCAAAATATCCAAAAGGGAAGCAGCGAAGAAGTAGTGCCGTTGTACAAGGCACTAATGAGACCACAGCATAGTTCTGGTTATGCATGCTCAAAAAAACCAACCAAAAAAAAGCCAAACAGAAAAAAATCCCAAAACCCTAAAACCCCTTCAAACTGAAAAAGTGAACAATAAGGCTACTAGGATAATCAGTGAAACAGAGAGCATTGTTCTAAGGAAGACTGTATAGCACTTGCTTTTCCAGTTGCTGAAACACCTAAGAGTATATGACTGCCTTCTGAAAATATGACAGGAAAATGCCCAAAAGAGAAAATAAAGCAAAAGGACAATATTGGCATAATAGCAAATGGGCCTCTAATAAATTTATATGGGAACAAAAAGATGGTTCCTCAACTTGAAGGATGAGATATATGTGAAGGGCCTTTGAATAAGGAGGAGTGGGGCCAAAAATTGTTAAACAAACGGGTTTAATAGCATAGCTCAGTTTACAGAAGGGATTCTGCTATGTGGCATCTACTGTGGGAAAAGACCAGACACAGAAACATGTAACTGGAACATCCCCAACTTGTCTGATCCATCAGAGAGATAAAAAGGTGGTGGCTCTTTTGCAGTGTGAAATTACATCATATGCTCTAAAATTCCACTTAAAAAGATTTTCAATCCCCCCACCTACACATGAATTATTCTATATTAAACCACATGAATGTCTGTTAATACAGAAAATGTTGCACCAAACCTTGCCGTGAAATCAGCAACCTGAACATCTGGTGTACCAGTCAGCACATCTCATGTACCTTTTCACAGTGAGATTCTTTTTCCAACATTTCTCTTGTTTCTACCATGGAGTGTAAGCATAGTATCCTTCTAAAGTCACAGTGCAGTGAGCCATACAGATTGAAAATATTCCAGACAACACAAAAGATTATTTCATTTAATTCTTAAAATAATGCAAATATAAGAATTGAAATGTACCATGTGGAAAAGTGGTGGTGTACATTTCACTGATTTTTTTCAATCAATACTGAAGACACTTTCCTTGAACTACATATGCTTTCCAGTTTATTTGAGGTGCTTGAACTTGCAAGATACGTAGGTAATACTGTATCAGTCAAAGAATTATTCAGAAAACAAATACAAGAACCAAAAAGCCTCAAAACTCTTCTTCACTGAAAAAGAGAGGCACTGCATTTTTAAGCTGAATTAAGGCTATAAAATGATGCTGGTTCATTGTGAATTTGAAGTCATCAAATGTCACAGGGGTGACATTTAACCCGCTGCTTCGCTGTTAGTCCTGTAAGCCTGCTTACGGAGGTGGGTCTCGATCTCCTCCCTGAAGACCAGCATCCCGAGGTGCGAGTGAGAGGCCTCATTCATGGCTTTGGACTGGATACACATGCGATATTGCTCCAGAGTGAGTTCATCTGCACAATGTTTCTCATGCCAGAGGTGAAAGAGACCAGGGACTGGTGTCCTGATCACAATAAGGTCACCATGCAAGTACTTTCTGTAAAGGTGAACATCCTCACCGCCCCAGCCTTTCACTTCCAAGTCAAAACCCCCTACAAAAACAATATCAGAAAATGTTATTTTGATACACAAGCTAGATGTAGGGCAAAGGGAGCAACACTCCTTGTGTAATGTATTACCAAACCTGGTACAACATACCAGAAATTCTGGAGCAATTAACTTTTCTCCCTGCCAAAGCATGCCACATTGAGGGAGAAGAGCTTCAAGCATACCACATCCTTGGCAGTGGTAACTGCTCAGGACACAGATCATGCACTGCTGACTTCAGAAAGTCTCTTAGAGTGGTGTCTCCAAATCGCATTATGCATGACATCCCATGTGACAGCTGCAGAAAACTGTAGGCAAACCTCACTGGCTATGCTTTTGGGTTATTGTCAGCAATCATAATGGATTTTAGCAGATGGAAAATGAAGCAGTCATGCACCATATGAAAAGCCCTCTCTAAAAATGCCAGCAAATTAGTCCATAGGTCACAACTCAAAAGACTGGGTTAAGGAAAGGAACCTGTTCACTATTTTAAGTTCTCTTGCCTTTCCAGGACCATAGTGAAAATCTACCCAAACTCATGCACAATTTCAAAACACTAGAATTATGAAATCTTCGTTTAGCATATACCATACACATGGCAATATGTCTGCTATTAGAAATCAGCCTGCATTCAAGCCATTATACAGCACATAGGGCTATATTATTACACCTTCTGGCAGACTGTCTTAAGACTGTCTTCCAAATTAAAAAACCACAAAAAAAAAAAAACCAGCACACAAAGCTGTTTGCAATGTTAACAGCATGCCACACGGGGGTGCCAAAGCATATTTCTAAAGCCTCGAACACCTACATTCAACTACTTAAGGTTATTTAAAAGATTGAATTTGAATGCTTCTTGTCTATGCTTGTCTATGCTATGTGTTTCTTAAACTTGATTAATTTGCTTCAGAAAGCCACAAAGTACAAAAAAAAATGAAAGATTTTTAGAGGTTCTAGAGTGAAATATTACCAAAAAATATTGTGACTTTTAACAAACACTCATCAGATGGGAAATCAAAATCTAGAAAAACTAATTTATCTCATTGGTCAAACTTGTCAAGCAAGTCTGACAGCTGGGCTTAGGAAAATAATAAAAGAAATAAATGCATTACTCTCTTCTTGTTAGATAAAAGAATCAATTTTTAAACACAATTTTTTTTTTTTACAGTTGCATCTTACCAACAGTCAGAAAGTCTGTCCGATATTGACAAGTCATCCCAAAGCCAAAATCCCGCCAGAAACCAGAATCTTTCTTGTGTACCTGCAATTTTAAAACAATATCATTTTGAAATGCACAATACACTGAAGGAGATATATTGTACTTCGTTTTGTAGAAAGCTAAACTCTTCCAATAATTTGCTCAATGCCAGATACAGCATGTAACACTTCAGTGTTACTGTGTCATGTACTGACGTGGGCTTCCTAATTACCTTCACCCTTTGCCATCTGATTCCAAATACTTATTCTCACTGGAATCTGCCACACCATATCTATTTTCTATATATCTGCTCAGACCAAGCAGTAAACTTTTGGTAGTCTATTGCCAAATCATCTGTTCCCGAAACTCCAAGTCCTACCTGGTTTCTAAGGCCAGATTTGTCTCTTCTTGTTCTGATATGACAAGTAAAGTAAGTTTTGTGACTTAAATCGGCAACCATAGAGTTGCTGGATTCAAAAAAGTAAACAGCAGAGTTGTCAGGCAGGAGCTCGCTCCTCTCTCAGCTGTGACCACCTGAGGCCATATGCAAAAGCTGCCCTCAGGATCCTTGTAAACAACACAGGGTGTGAGGATTGTTATGTTTTTTTTTCTTTTCTTTTAGTAAAGCTGTATTGCACTCTCCTTTCTCTCCTCCAAACCTGCCTACCTCAGCAGTCCCAGCTGCGAAACCCAATTTCATTAGGCAGTCTCTTGAAAAGGAGCCAGGCTGGACATTGACCCTGGCCATTCCATCTTCAGCCAACAAAGACCCAGAAACAGAGCACCTACTTCCTTCTGCTGAGCCCCAAATTACCCTTAAACGTATTCTCTTGAATATTTCTAGGGTTTGTTTATTATTGTGACTACAAGCTTCCCTAGAAGCAGTGTTTCTCATTTCAAAAGCAAGATGAAATTAGCAGTGTAACAGCCAATGGTTCTGTCAGATGTTGGGTGGCAAAGGTAAAGAAACAATCCGCACAGAGTACAGCTGTCCACAGCAAAAAAAAAAAAAAAAAAGCAATGACTAAAACATATTAGCCCCCCTCGAGTTACATGTCACACTTCCTGCAACTACGATTTGGTAGTTAGCAAAGGTAGTCAATTCTGAAAGAAGCTTATCAAGCACCGTTAATAAGATTTTTTTTCCTTTCACGACTGCTTTGTTTGCTGGAACGTAAGGCAAAAGTTACTACCATGTTATGTCACTATCCTCCTAAAATACTGGTTTTCCAAGCCAGAATTAAGCAATAGATCAAAACTAACAACTTCATTTGATTAACAGAACAATAGCACATTATTATTTTTTTTTCTAATCTAAGTAGAACTCCAAGTTTATCTAAGAACAAGTTTTGTACTGCTTGGTAAGCTTCTCTTACAAGTGCTGTGTCCATAATAGAGAAAAGTGTTTAGATACAGACTGACAAAGGTCACAAGATATCCCAAACAGACTTTTAAGCTACACTTAATTTTGTTTTAATACAAAGCACAAGCAATTCTATCCGGAGTAAATCACGCTGCTTACCAATTGTTGCTCCACAGGGGGTGGTATATCTTGGTTGGCATAAACAATAGCAGGATTATAAAGGCTGAATACCACAGGATAAAAAACCTTTTTCCCTGGAAGTTAAAAGGTAATTGTTACTCACTGTGGGCATACTTTCTGAAGGCAAGAGGAAACCAGAAATATTCTCTTTATGTAAAATATTAGCTCTTAGACATCTAGTGAAAACAAATAAATATAAAGTCCAACTGCGAGGATTTCCCATGTAGATAGCCCATTACATCTAGCGGGTAAAGAGCTCATAGGATTAAAAAAAATATATATGTACACATTTATACATTATAGGTATATATAGTTATACATACTTAAATACACATTATTATATATATATATATCACAATATCACATTAGATGACAGTGAAAAATCCCTGCAATGATGGTATGCAGTAAAGCTAAAAAATGTACAAATAACACCTTGCATAGCTTGAGTTTTATGAGCTTGTCTCTTTCCACAAGCAGTTAAAAGTGTGTACATCCAGGATGTCCTGCAAGGGCACTAAGCACCATGAGTATCCTGATTATGCTGTGACACCAATTCTCTGCCTATACAGAAGCCAGATAAATATTTTTCAAGGATCTCTTGCATTGCCAGTGCTGCACAGATATCGATGACAGCCCAGGAGAATGCTCAGTACTCTGATTTGGGCACATACTCTGAATGTGTGAGAAGCATTTTCAGATTTCACTTAAAGCAAATGTGACAAACTGTCAGTATGAATTGTCAAGCAGTCTTTCAACTCCTTTCCTTGTGAAAGCTCACAAGATGATCCTTTCCAAAGTTCTTCCAATTATTTATACAACTTGTTTCATGAAGTGCAGAGACAGACATAAACGGAAAAAAAAAATCAAGAAATTGAATCCAAATATCAGGCTTATAGCAGATTTTCTTGCCTGTTTATTATGTGAAGAAAAAGTATCTATTCATTCCAAATTGACGTTTGGAGAAAATGGTTTCTGGCTGCAACAAATCTGGAATAACAGTAAGCATTAAAAAAAGAATCCAAACAAATATTTGACAGAAGAAGGTCTTAACTAGCATGCTTGTTAACTCAAGAAAGCCTTATCCTTCTTGGCATAAGCTTGTAGAACAAGCGAGCTTCATAAAAACTTGAGAAAAATGGTCAGAAATTTTCAGAACTTGGGATGTAAATGTGGAACATTAGCTTAGTCTCTGTAAAGGAGCACATTGTGTAGCTCTACTGAAAACCATTCATATGTGGTGTGTCCTGGCCATACAAGTGTAAGACAGAAGCCAGACTTGTTAAGGATTTCAGTACAACAAAAATAACCTTCCACCGTAAGTGCTACATTGAGTTTTGTTATACATATTTACATGCAGTCTAATTGTTAAAGCGATTAAACAGTCCAGCTTTATTTTAGACAGACAGATCTTAAGAACATGTGAAAATTGTGCTTACTGTACAAAAAAGACCACATATTCTTAAAACATGCCACACAAAGGCAAAAGTTACTTCTCAGTCTAAATACAATTGTCTTTTGTGCACAGAGTATTTTTCATTTTCCTAGGTGCACGGTATTGAATAAGCTCCACCATTCAAGTTCATTTTCTATATGCTCAACAGAGGTCAGCTTAAGCCAAACAAGACAACAAGACTTGGTTACAGCAACTCTAAAAGAACATACCAGGCTCAGCATTTAAGCGACAACTGTTGAGGAACTCAGCTGTGAAATAAACATCAACATCACAGAAGAACATCAGGACCTCGCCCTTTTCCCAGGCTCTGGCGCCCATGTCAAGTCCTCGGCCACGGTTAAATTCCTCATTCAGAGAGACAAGTGTGTAATTGTGGAAGTTAGTTTCTCTAGAAAAAAAACAAGGCCAAATCCAAAATAAATCCGTGTGGGGGGCAGAAGGGACCATTTATACTTTTTCAGCATTTTACAGTAATTTTATTCCAGAAATTTTTAAAAAAACAGTTATATCATCAGGATGAGAAAAAATATCTGTTCCACTTAGTTGTCTATTTTAAGCATCAAAGTTTAGACACTGTAAAAACATGGACCTCAGTCTTACTTCATAACTTCACTTCGCATTTAATCATTCAGACAGATTAAAAAGGCCTTTTGGCAACTTACATGAATTGAAGTGTTCTCTGAAGCTACAATGCCATCTAAAATTTGTCCCCAATATCTCTGTCCTGAGAAGAAGTCCTGAGCAATATCTCTGTCTTCACTATGTCAGAACGGAGGGCAAGCGGAAAGCCAGAGTCCTGGCACTACCAAACTCATGAGGCAAAAGGCCATCTGTGTCGTGACGCCACCACAACCTGGACAGTTTGCTCCTCACTATTTCATACCAGTAGCACACACGCCTGTACTCATCACAGAAGAGGGAAGGAGCAGCAAAGGGAGATTGGAAAAACACCCTGTGAACATCTTCAAGCAAAGTGTCTACTTTGGAGACACTTCAGAAGGCAGTGCTTGCAGAGAACAGAGTGAAGATACTCAACAGTAGCACCACTAAGGAGATAAAGAACAAGATAAATGCCCAGTGAGTTTGCAGCACTGCATCTGACTCAATGCCGTAAGAAGAAGACATCTCACAGGGAGCACGGCAGGCATCACAGAGGCCTCAAAAGCAGAGATGGCCGGCTCTTGGCAAGCAAGGTGGCAGGGAGGCTCTGCGGGAGGAAGGCAGCAGTGCTCCTCCCTTCCTAGAAGATGTCTGTGCACACCAGGCCAAGTGACCATCACATTGTAAGCCAGCGACACAACAGCCTATGTCTAATACACTTCATCAAGCAGAGCCTTGGCCAGTGTTGCGAGACAGGGATTACGTGAGAGCCCAGCTTATTCTTGGCTAACAAGGATAACAGGCGCTCAACTCAGGATGAGAACAAGAGCTCTGCCCAAGGAGGAGCCCCTTAGCTACAGTGTTACAGATGCTATTACCTGTCCCATACCTCCGAGGCAAAAAAGGGCAACATTTGGGAATTTTACATCCATACTACTTTAACGCTATTTACTGAGACAGCCACAATGAAACAGCACTTAAAGTTGTTTTATAGCAAAGGGTTAAGTATGGGACCAATTACCTAGTACCTAGAGGTCAGAGGGCAAAGCTTAACTTGAACTCATCAGCCTGTCAGCCTACTTTGACTACATTTCCTTATCATTACATAAAATGGATTCTCCAGAGACGGACCTATTGAAATGTCCTTCCCAGTTCCAAAGAACTTTCATTCTGACCAATCTGTCAGCTTGACTGAATATTCACAGCAAAACTCACCCCTGCTGTTTTTTGGACTGTCAGACAGAAACCTTAAAGCCACTGCTCTTAAGTCTTTTTTGGCCTATGACTTGGCTTTCAGTAGTCTTCAAGAGATGTCTGCAACTTAGGCTGTAAAATGCTAACCAAAAAATAAAGTACTATAAATAAAGCTTATTTTTCCTATTAACCTGTAATGGACTATAAACTTATTATTTTTATTATTAGATTATTTTTAAAAAAAATTTAAATGCCAATCAATATTGTTTGCATTGACTGACACTGGATCGACACACTTACCTAGCTACGGATTCTAGGATGCTTTTTACTTCTGATAGGCCATCCTGTCCAAAATACACCACTGTGAGGTGAACACGCTTATCCTGATGAATACACACATCCCTGTAAGCACAAAGATAAGCTGATATTAATAATTACTTGCAACACAAAGAAGCTTCAGGTACTTAAAAGCTATTGCATTTAGAGGTATCAGCAGATTTACATCTTCTGGTCAGACTTCAACTAGCTTCTAAAGGAAACAAGGAAAGATGTTTTCCCTCTTCTTTCCCCATCTTTCCCATTTGAATCAGACGGTTCCAATAATGTATGTCTCATTCCAACACCTTATTTTACCAATAGGAGCTCAAAAGCTGATGTAAATACAAAAATGATGTTCAAGATCATCTGTGTCCAGGTTCACAACGACCCTGGCATTTGGTCTAAAAGGGCTTTTGGTGCAACTTGAGAATCTCTTAAATCCTTTTAGAAGAAAAGTTTTGTCTATACAATAGAACTACAGACATCCCAAGGCAGTTGCAACACAATGTTGGAATCATTAGTTCTGCTGCAAACCCACCAGAAAATAAATTCATTTTGAAAAGGAAACAAATTACTGAAAATCAGCAATATAGTTCACTATATAATCTCATGCACCTACCTAAAGTTTTGCATAAATTGTGCAAATGCCTCAGTTCTTCCAGCAAGAGGGACAATAATGTTAATGATTGATCTAGAAATATCGACCGTTTCACTCTTCACTTTCATGAGGGGTCCAAAAGGTCGGAACAAGGTGACATGCCTGTATTCCATGCCATCCATCTTCTTATAAAACAGCTCATACTGTGTCCCCTTATCTCTTTCTGTACGATAGTAACCTGAAGAATAAGCCACACAAGTAATTTGTAAAGTCAAAGATCCCAGCAACTGTATTTCAGAAACACTTTTTTCCTAAGATCTATAAAGAGGTGGAAAAAAAAGACAAGCTCTGGGGACAAAGCTTCTGGGTTTTCCTAGGAACAAACAAACAAAAAAAATCAAACCATCACCAATCACAATCACCCTCCTATCCTCTCAGACCAGATTTGAGAAACAATCCCAAACAGAACTACAGCCTCCCCGGCTTCTTAGAGACCACAACAGGTTTTATGGTCCTTCATCAACATCTCAGGCAGAATTAGAGATGGGTCTTCCCAACAAAAAGGGAATTCAACTATTTGCTATGGAAAATGATGGCTGAAATCTAATATTGCCTGCTCTTAAGCCCTTCAGTAAGGATCTTACCCTGAGCTAGTCCACAGTAAAAGCTGAGATCATCTGGCCAGCAATCAACACAACACAAGCCACAGGCAGAACAAATGACACATTAACTCATGTGACAAAGCCTGCAAAATCTGAAATGTGGTATCTAAAAAAAAATAAAATTGTGTGATAATATTGGAATGCTTGAAAATTGTTTTCACTGCTGACCACTAGCTGCAGTGTTTTCTAAAGCACCAAAAAACAAAGACAATGGTGTTTAACTGTAGCCATGGTCCTCTAAGGACTAGGCACAAATTGTTTTCTACAGAGCTGTAACACATTGAGAAAACAATACCCATCCTCTATAAATGTGATTACCTATTTATAGATATTTTACTCCTAATGGGTAGGAAAATCTATCCCATTTCATTCAGAACATGGTCCTTTCATTTAAGGAACACCAAGGAAGCAAATTAAGCCAACAGCCTCTCTAATTTTACACCACAAATGAAAAGATCAAGACTCATCTGTGGCTTTAACTGAGCTGAGCTCTGGATTGGTAATCCCATATCTGTACTAAACTGAGGAAAAAAAGCCATGACAGGAAAAATCCTCCAATAGAACTGCCCTATGTTCATCCCATCTGTGCTCTCCTCTCTCACCCACGAGGAAAAGGTGTGTTACAGAGAAGACACAAACTACACTATGAACCAAACAATTTTCAGTTAAGCTGGCCACACAGACTGTTAAGAAAGTTATGAATAGTTGGATATCCCCATGTTTGATGAACGCACCTGTCTTTACACCATGCAGCCAGGGTATTTCCATTCACCTGGCAGGCCCAAACTACCTCCTCACCTGCACGCCAGCCTCCAGAGCAGCTGAAATCCTCTCCCAGCCTCCCACCCAGAAAGGAGGTGGCAGGGCACAGGATAGATGAACTATTCTGGTTACACAAAGGGTTGTCTTTTGTGGTCAGTATTGATACTGTCCTTTTTGTTGTTACTGTCTTTTCTCCAATTGAAATCAAGAGAGGTCAAGGTATGTGAAGGGAGCAGCCCTCAGAGCAGCTTGGTTTTGTTTGCCTCCCTCAGGAACTGGAAAGAAATGATCTTACAGCTTTGCTTCTCTTTCTATCCCCAGGCAACTATTCTTCCATGTTCCCTTCCTCCCATTACCTTCTTGTTCACTACAAGAAGCAGAGGAATGCGCACACCACCTTGACACAGCTTTTTTCCTCTATGCGCCAGGCTCCCTTCACAAACAATCCTTTCCAAAATCTCCCTCCATATTCCTCTGCTCCAGCCTCCCTCCCCAAACCAAATCCAGTTTCATTCACCAAAGTTCTCTCCTTCTGCCTCTGCCCTGTATCTGCCCAACAGCCTCTCTTTTTACAGCAAGCTCCCTCTTCCCCTCCAGTTTTCAGCTCTGTAACGCACTCTTGCTTGCAGGCGAGCGTGGACAGCGGTAGCCCTGATGGGAAACACAGATGACCCCACACAGGGTCTGTGGGAGATGGGCACAGCAGACCAGGCTGGTGCCATCGCATTGGAAGTTAATGGTGACTGAATCTAACCTTTCGACTTACATGCACCCTTTGAACAAAGTTTTGCAATGCACTCTTTTAAGAGACAGAAATCCACGTTTATTCCTTTGTGAACACACAGCTGCACAAAATATGCATCACATTCTAATGCTCAGGAAAGCCATGACAGTTTCACATCAGTATTAATGACAAATACTGAAAAGGGTGTTTCAAACAATGAAAGTCCACACTGTTGACCGTTAGAAGCAGAACAAGATATTAATTCCCTCTCAATCCTGTTCCACTCCAACCCTTTGTACCGTGTAGTCCAGTGCTGTAGCATGAAAACAGCTTCTGGGTTACTGGAGCAGCTGATGCACCATGGTGTGTGTACATCATGCTCTCACGCAACATGCAACAAATACTTTGTACCAGTTACTCCTGCACAAATTAACATCCAGTATTATATAATATATTCATTTCTCTAGTATCCAATAGCTGTTTACAGATGAAAATACCATTTACAATGTAAGTTAAGTTTTTAAAATGCATGTCACAGATGCCAAAAGTTTATCTTTAATCAAAGAATAAGCCTAGATGCCAGTCTACAACAGAAGGCTGTAGTACAGAATAAAAACTTCATAAAGACCTTAATATGCAAGTCCAAATTTGAGTAGTGCTTTTTCAACATACAATTACTGGAACATAAGATTCCAAACTTCTGAATCCCAACATCCTACCAGCACCTCACTTCTTTTAAATAGTAAGTATGTGCTCCTTGAGGTATTCTCCTTGCTGTGAGCTAACCTCCATAGGTAATCTACTAATTTGAATACTTCTACAGGATTAAAGCTTCTATACATAGAAGCCAGAATTGAGAACAGCCAGAAAAAGAACTCACATCTGTTTTACTTCTTAGTGTAGTATAGTTTTTAACACTTGGGACTGACTCATGTAATAAAAGTTGCTATCTCACCTTTCAACTAGCATACCCTGGCTGCCATCCAAAATAGAACTCTATAAGCAAAGAGGCAAAAAGCAGCAGAAATAATTTAACAGCTGTTATTCCTGGTCCATGAAGCCTTACTCCCTCTGCAGAAGTTCTGTTTCTCACCAAAAAAAGTAAATCTAGGAATATCAGGAATCAATTATTATCAAAGCCAAAAAGCCATTCTTCTAATGCCTCAAATACTATTACTTGTGTTACAACTACCAAGAAAGAGTTTGGTCTATGCCCATTAGGACATATGTCCTAATTTTTTTGTGCGTATTCAAATTCATAGAATCATAGAACGTTTTGGGTT